CAAGTAACAAATGATAGGACAAGAGGAAACAACCTCAAGTTGTGACAGAAGAGGTTTAAATTGGATAATAGGAAAAATTTCTTCACCAAAAGGATTGTTAAGCATTGCAACAGGCTGCCTTCTATGATTCTATGATTTTGCAGGTCAAAGGCAGCAATCCCGGTCCATTGCCATATAGGCAAGGTGTAGGTCACCAAATCCGGCAGCACTGTAAACCAGCAGGTGGAGGCTGGACTCAGAGACTCCCTTGGAATTGTCTGGTGTTAGAAAAATGAAACAATAAAAGGTGTGTTCTTCACTCAGTTGCCTTGAGGGCATTGGCAAACTCCATTTCAAACAGCGCTGAAAGCAAGGTGAGGTACCTGGGATGGCAGCTTAAAATGAATCTCACCTGAGCTCAAGCAGTTAACTCCCATGAGTTCCCAGGTTCCTTTGTCTCTGGTGTAATTTTAGTGACAGCAAGCTCATGGCAGTTAAGAATGCACTTTTTTTTTGTAGTATTGACATCCTCTCAGTTATGATTCATGTCATTCTGCTGCATAGGCTTATTGAAATTCCTCAACATGTCACTCACCCTCAAGGCTTCATCACACTGTGTGAGTATGACTATAAAACTGTGCTGAAACAGAATTCATTTGGGACTTGCATTTATTGTCATTTTTATTCAGCTGATATTTGTTCTGGTAGGCAAAACTCGTAGAATCATTTGATATGGATCGACCAGTGTAAAGATTTTTATTTACAAAAGGTTAATTTCAACGTTTACCTTGATTTTGACCTCCCAAACAGTCCCATTGAACGCATTTCGCCTTTATCATCTTGTTTGTCAGACAGTGATTTAAAAATGTGCCTGTTTATATAGATGATCTCAGCAGGACCTTTCTGATGTACTTTCTCTTCATTTTGTGACCCAGGGCTTGCTGTTGGTCTGGATCCACAAGGCTATGGGAACCCTGATTTCTGCTGGTTGTCTGTTCATGACACCCTTATCTGGAGTTTCGCTGGGCCCATCGTAATTGTTGTAGTTGTAAGTATGGTGTAGTTGGCATCTGCTGTCTTTTCCTTACTGCCACCTTTTCTTTTGTATTTTGTCAAATGGTTGTCATAAAGCGAAGCAACTGTATTGTTTACATTTAAAGCCAAAGTACTCGAGTTTGCCTCTCTTTGCTTAAACAGATAAGACGTGAGCTAAGCTCCTGGAAATCAGAGGGCTGCTTGCCAGTGAAAGGATGGCTGGAGCAATAGCCAGAAACCCCGTTTGCTTCGTTCCATGTTTGAAGGGTTGTTTGGTGATCTTACTAAACAAATCAACAAAATGAGCCATAGCAAGTCACTTCATCCAGAAGTCCTAAAGAACTACCAAATAATTCCAATTTCAGGAATTTAAAAGTATGGGCTGGTGTCTCCCTTAAAGCTTCCCTCAGTAACAGAGCAACAGAAGATAAACTTTCATGGTGTGACTCTATCTTGAATACCAAGTGCAGTTCTGGTCTCCTCATCTCAGAAAGTATGAAGCAGACCTGGATGCAGTGTGGGTTGGGGTCACAAGTCATCAGAGACATCAGGGACAACCCCAGCTGGAGGACCAACTAAGTGGACTAGGAGCTTTCAGCCTAGAGAAGGGGAAGCTGCAGAGAAGGGGGAAGTGAGGAGCCTGTAATAGCATGGTGGTCTGGAGAAAATGCCTGTGGAGCCAACTGTTTAGTGTCTTTTCCAAAACAAGCAGTAGCAGGAGACAGCAGATTCAGAACAAAAAGGATGAGCTGCATCATTCCTCCACAGCAAATTAAGTTAGAAACTCCCAGAAACAGGACAGTGGCAGTGGTAAAGCTCTACACAGTTTCAGAAAGGGAATGACCAGACAAATTTTCAGTGTTGATGTTCACTATGAGTGATTAAGTACAAACACCCCACTCCACCTAGTACATCCCAGCCATGGAAATCAGTGGAGGCTGGAGGAGTATTCAGAGGAACTATCACTGAATGGTTGCCCTGTTACTATATTCCTATATTCTGGTTTGGTCCAGCTGAAACTAGGTGTTGGGCTGAGTGGACTCTGGTCTGGACAAGGGTGGCCATTCTTGACTTTTTATCTTTCATTCAAGCCTCTTTGCCTAGGGCCACCTTACTGGGTTTCATCCAGATCAAGTCCCAGAATGTTCTTGACTATGTTGGCTTAAAATGTGATGAGTCTTGGAACTCAGAAACCTGTAAATTGAAGGAAAAATATTCTTGGCACTACAAACCATTTTAGGATAAAAATCGCAGTTTCATTGAAAACTGAGCTCTAACAGATGTACAGAAAGAATCCATGCTGTTATTTCAATTTCCCTTTCAGATAAACACTGTCATCTTTATACTAGCAATGAAAGCATCATGCGGACGAAGGCAACGTTCATTTGAAAAAACTGGAGTCATGTAAGTTTGGGTTCAAAAACCTGCAGAAAAAGTTCGGGCTAGGAATAATAAAGGGACAGAATTGCCTAAAAGCAAGTGTTGGAGCGGGAAACAAGAAAGATATTTGGAGGAGACAGTCAGCATTGGTAGAGATGATTGGAGCTTCTTCAACAGCACCTACTCCTGAGGTTCCCTTGGAGGCTCTGTAAAACCTCCAGCATGCTGCGCTGCACCGCCAACCAGTGTAGACAGGAGAAAAGAGGGGACAGGGAAAGGTCTGGTCTCTGGGTGGTATCATTAAAGTCCTTCCAAATCTTTCATCACACTCCCTACTACACTGTCACTTCACCTCTGCCTGTGGCATGCCCAGGTAGACGTAATTCTGGGCCTCCCTGTGTTCGCCCGTGGCTCAGAGAGGTCTCCCCTCACAAATGCCTGTCGTGGCAGAGATCCGCTGAGGTTCCCATGATGAGGGCCAGCCTCCCCCCATCCCACTCCCCATAGGGTGAGCAGAAAGCCTCGCAAGCTGCAACCTGCCGCCTTCTCAACCTGCTGTGGCAGCCTGTTCCCATTAACGTCTGTTTTGCCCAAAGCTCAGAATTTAGCTGTGAACTGAAATGTGATTAGCTAGTGGCAAGACAGACCCTTTTTTCTTTTTTCAAATAGGTAGCTGTGTGAGATTTCAAAAGGCTTCTTCCAGCTATTTATTCAGCCCTGGCTGTTGGGTAATTTTTTTAAAGTTTCTTTTTTAAATCTCCCTAAACAAGTGGAGTATAATTGCTACTTAATGGCAGCTATTTTACTCCTAATACAAAACTTTTGCCACTAGAATTGTGACCATATTTTGAAAGTGTCTGTGGAAATAAAGTTTTTAAGCAAACAAATATTCCCCTGAGTGCCCTTGATCCAAAACCTTGGGCTGTTGTAATGTTGAGAAGGAATGTGAGAGTGAACTTGACAAACAGAAATGAGACGGACATGGCCGTTTACCACCCAGATCTCTTCCTCAGAGTCAACAAGGCTGAACAGCATGGGCTTGGCAAACAGCCTGGTTTGTTTGAAGAAAACCTTGGAAACGAACTTGAAAAGAAATCACCTTTTTTTTAACCTGAATGTGCTAAGTCATTGAGTAGTGCAGTGAGAGAGTTGGGAACTTGCACCTGGTGAACACTGTCCTAATTTTCCCAGAGGGCCTTTCCAGCTGGCAAATCATTGGGCACGTGGCACTGCCCGTGCAGAGAAGTTGGGCTATTCTCTTGTATCTTGTCATGCTGCAAATGCCCGTCTGTGTTGGCTTTACAGCTCTGTGCTGCGAACGGCACTCCTGCTCTTGCTGCTCATCAGTGCCACGTGGCTGCTGGGGCTGATGGCGGTGAACAGCGACGTCATGACGTTTCACTATCTCTTTGCCATTTTCAGCTGCCTGCAGGTAAGTTGGATACATCTTGTCCGTGGCAGAACTTGGTGGGCACATGGCTGCACCCAGACCTCCAAAAACCCACTACACATGAGCTAACTTAAGAAAAATAAAGATGGCAAGTACAATTTTTGTTCTCTTTTCTCAAAGAGAGGGTTCTTTTCACCAGAACCATAACTTTGAGTAATTGCATCTCTCACTTCTAGTCATTCTAAAGATAAGTGCTCTGCTATTGTAACCTGTGACAGATAAATAACAGTAGATAATTATACCTCTGTCTTTCCAGAGACAAAACCTTTGTTACTGTCTTCTGTGTGCTCATTGTTAACAGTTGTTCTGTTGCTACCGCAAAGCGACTGTTTTATTTCACCCAGAGTGGATGGCTCCAAGCTCAAAGCTTTCACAAATTAAGTTACTGTTCGTGGAAATAAGTCAAATAATGATTTTCAAATAAAACTCATTGCATTAGGGTTTTACTGGGTTGCCTGTCCTAGTGTACACATTTGTTGATTAAAGATGCAGAAAATAGTTATTTGTAGGAGACCTGTCACAGAAGTAGTCATGAAGCTTCATGTTGGTCACAATTTTAATGTGACCAAAGATGGCAGTAACTGTCATGGCAAGTGCCTACAGTATTATAACAGCTACTGCTAGCAGGACACTCTTGTAAAGTGTAAAGAGAAAAAGAAGTGTGATGGATCTTTTCTGGAGATGACTGTCCATGCCTTGGAAGCACACCAGATAGGCCAGCCTGGAGCAAGGTTATTTTGCCCCTGCAGCTGGCATGCTCTGAAATAAGTACACCTACTCAGGCTGTAAAACCAGGCTTCCACAAGCCTAAAATAAAATTAAATTAAATATAAACCTGATGAGAGGGAGGAAAGTCAGCAGCTGGAATTCTCCAAACTTGCCCAGAGAGGCACAGTGGAATGTGGCGTTTCATGTCACTGCCTTCTTTGAACTCATATTTTTAAAGAGACATTTATGTGAATTTTATTAATGAGTAATCCCAAAGTGCTAATGCCAGCTAAGATCGCATTTGATTGAATGTTTAGAAAGCGAGCTTGAAGTTTAAAGTTACTCTAAGTCAATTGCTTTGGCTGCAGTCATGAAACGCAGGCACCTTGTGATGTTGGTACAGCTGCAACTTCATGAGTGATTGGCTTCTATATACTATATTTCCTACCAAAATTGATAACAATTTGGCAGCTGCATGAATTCACTCAGAGCAAATGCATCTGAAGGCACGCACCCTGCCCCCAGCAAAGGCTGTTAGTGTGTGTTCCCAGCAGCCAACAACTGCTCAGCCCTGGGCATTTTAGTAATTCTCCCACCAGCAGGTATTGCTGAACCAAGGAACGTATGGGGCAAAATTTGGGACCTCTCTGCCCCCGGTATTTCTCCACATCTCATAAGGCTTTCTAAAGTTCTCTTAGCGACAGTATTAAGGAAACCTACCACAGAAGTTCTCAATTTCCAGAGGTTTTCACTAAAGGCTGTGATATTTTTTATGTGCTGCAATTGATTTTGTCTCATCAACGGTGTACAAGCTCTAAAATCTAAATCCTGAAACTCTCTGTAATGTCTTCCAGTGGGACATTGAGGTCCTCGTTGGATGTTTTGAGAAGAAAGTTTCTTCCCAAACACTGAGGGAGGGTAGCACCTGCCACAAGCTCTGCTCTGTAAATTTTGGACAGACACATCATTGTGTATATTTTCCCAGCCCTTTTATGTACATTTGAACTTGGAAGCAAATTATGAAGAAGTCCTAGGAAATCAATCAGTGCTATTTCAGTCAAAACCAGAAAATAGTTACTGCTGTTGAAATCATGGACTACAAACTAGAATTCAGGGGTTGTTTCAAATCGGCTGTTCTCCAGTACCTGTGTTTGCAGTTTGGTAGCAATGAATCATTTACATTTATTCTCCCTCTCTCTAAAATGATGCAGGGGCTGTTCATTTTCTTCTTCCACTGCGTATTTAACAAAGAAGTCAGGAAGCACTTGAAGAACACTTTAACTGGGAAGAAACCTCTTCCAGACGATTCCACTGCAACAAGAGCCACATTATTAACTGTAAGGAGAAAGCACTGGGAAACAAACATCCTCTTGCTGGTAGAAGTTACCGAAAATAAATTTATGGGTGTCTTGTCCGTAATTAAGTGACTTGTCTGATTGCTTTCAGTGACGTGTACTACGATTACTGATGGCCTCTCTCAAAAGTTTTGATTTCTGTTTTAATTAAAACTTCTGAGAAGAAAGAAAACGTCAAAAACCACTTGGTTCCCTCAAAACTTAATACATTCACGGCTAACATGGGCTTTTGGTAGGATCATTTACTATTGCTTTGTGTCTTTTTTTTTCCCTTTAGCGATCTCTGAACTGTAACAACACGTATATAGAAGAGCCAAATATGTATCGCACAACTCTCGGGGAATCCACTGTCTCCCTAGAAAGCACCGTCAGGTCAGCCAAGAGCCACAATAGCTACCTTGCTTATATTCTCAGGTAATCAGGTGGCAGGTGCATGGCTTTCAGGTGCTTGCCTTTCCCTTTTCATTGCTCTTGTGGAAAACAGAAATGTTGTGGTTCAAATGCTACTTGTTCTATGTCTTAATAGTTCTGGTTTATGAAACTGTCATTTTCTTTCATGCATTTTCTTTTGCATGCATCTTCAGTGGGGAGTTCCAACAGTACAGCAGTTAACGTAACTATTATGTTAACTATATGGGCCGTGCTGCTTGCCTGTTAAAATTCAGACGTAGCTCAAGGAGTGCAATTTAGCTTATTAACTTCAGGCTTTTTCAGAGTGTGATTCATGTGGCCAAACGCAGACAGATACATTGGGATAGCCTATGTCTTGCTGTAAAAGTGACCACATCGACAATCAAGCACAGGCTGGCTAGCGTCCACTGCAACTGTCTGCATTTGACCAGAAGAATCTCAGCTGCATGTCTGCCTTGTTGTTAAGAACAGTAAAGTGACTAAGAAAGTTGTCCTCTGGTTTTGTTCTCAAAGGGATGAGGCTGCTCATAAGCTAAGTGGATCCTCAAGTCAAGCAAGGGCTGGTCAGACTGAAGCAGATTCCTCCATTTTTCATAGGAATCCATCAAAATCCAATGGTAAGAATTGTTGCTAAATGCTTTGACCCAGTCATGCGCCTTCTCCTTCTCAGCACTTTTTTCAAAGGCTTGTGTAATAGGAAGAGTAGTTAGTCTGACTTGGTGTGTCTCCTTATTATGCACTTGGCATAGCAAGCTATGCAATGGCTGCCTTACTAGGGAATCCTGGAATGGAAATCTCATGTATTTGCCTCTTGTGATGGTTCAGTTCTAATCTGACAGCTGTCACAGCTGTTGACAGTTTCTGGTGTCTCCTTTCTTTCTCGCAGATTATGTGCTGTTGCTCTTGATTTTTAATTGGAGATCTTTTAACATTTGAGACCTTGAGGCAATATCCTCCTTTGCTGCTATATGTTTTGTACAAGAAAATGGGAAGTGTCTCTTGTCTGATTCCCTTTCATTTGGGTCTTAAAGTTAAATTTTGTTACCTTGTAGCAGTTTTGAAGTTTTTTAAGTGTGTTTGCAGATTATTGATATTTCTGGGTACCTTGGTTTGCCTGTGTGTTGACTGAGATCTTACAGAGTTACTGTTCTGCATATTGAACAGGGAAAAAAGTGTCCCCATTCTGTTCTGCACCTCCCATGCACATAAAAGGTCTTGCCCACTAGCTGAGCCAAGCAGGTGTGCTTCCCGTAATTACTTAGATGGGTACCACAGTCCATGTGAATTGATCCTATGTACATTTACAGATGTAAGAGCTCATCCCCAGCATGGCCTGAACCAGGCCTTTTCTTTCTCCTTGTGCGTTTGTCAGATAGATTTGTTCAACTCCTGTCCACACTCTCATCGCTGTGTTTCCCCTTTCTGCATTTGTAGAGCACGACTCAGACTCTGACAGCGAACTGTCCCTTGATGAACACAGCAGCTCTTACGCCTCTTCCCATTCATCGGACAGTGAGGATGATGGGCTCGAGACAGAGAAAAAGTGGAATACATCTACTTCCAAAAATAATGAACGTGGCCCACTCCACAGCACACCCAAAGGTACTCCCAGTGCAAGGGCAGAGCAATGGGTTGATTTCCTTCTATAAAATGGCTTTAGAGTAGATGAAACAAATTTGCCAGACTACCATATGGCTAACACAGCATCCCTACTGCTGTGCCATGTTTCTGCAGAGATTCTTGTTGTCTCCAGCTTAGAGACCTTTATTCCTCCCAAAGGCTTGTTCACAGGGGTGTTTGAGGACAAGTAAAAGGATGCTTGAGCAAATCTGCAACTTACAGTGCTCGGGCAGAGAGTGGGCTTTGCAGGTGGGTCCCCACAGCACTGGGAAATGGTGCTACCCAGCCAGCAAAGTCTCAAATGAAGGAAGAAGAAGAGGAGGAAGAAGTTGTTTGTTTTGAGGGCAGGGGGAAGAAACACCTGCCCCTCCCCTCGTGCAATACAGGCATATGGATTTAATGGTGTTGGGGAGGTCCTGGACCTAAAGAGTTGGAGGTCCTTGGCCATTAATATCAATACTGTGTGGAAGGGTGCAGGCGTTTCTAGGCATAGTTCATCTTGTCCTAATCATAAGTCAGCTTGGACTGGCAAACGTCCAGGCTGTGTGCTGGTGCTTTGCACAGACGCAGCACAAAGTGCCTTGGGTGCCCTCACCCTTCAGAAGCCAACCTCCCCAAGGAGCCGGTGGGATTGCCAGCGCTGGAGAGCTGAAAGGGCAGGTTTGCCTCATAGTTCTCCATAATGGAGCCAGCAACCTTGCTCTGGGAAGGGTTTGGACACCCTGCCATCCTACCAGGTGTGTTTTGTGGAGGTTGCTGCACCCCGAGGGCAGCGCAGTCCAGCAAGGATCACCTGAAAGATTGTGCTGCTTTTGCTCCTCCCCAGCCACAGGGAACAGGACTGGCTGGGCAGCAGTTAAGAAGACATATCAAAAGTGTTTTTCGAGCTAGTGTTTTTTTGCATTGCAGTTGATACCCTTCCCAATCATGTGAAACCCTATTGGCCCACAGAGTGCGTAACAGCCAGCGATGGTGAGGACCCCAGCGGGAAACAGAAACTCAAAGTCGAGACCAAGGTCAACGTAGAGCTTCACAGGGAAAACCAGGTGAACCACAGCAACGAAGCACCGCAGGACAAGGAGAACGAAGGACAGCAGAAGGAGAACAGACCTCTCTCCCACCAGAATAACCAGCAGCCAGAGCAGAGGAAAGGTAGCACAGCCAACCTAGCCTTACAGACAGGCTGGGAGACTGGGGGGTTAATGAGTATTAATTAGTTCACCTGGTAGCTCTCAGGGAAGAACATTTTCCTAATGGCTCCAACCTGTGTAACCAGATACACCATGGGAAGCTAGTAGGTAGTTGCTGACGTCTAATCTCCTGATTTTGAAATAACATGACAAACTAGAAGTCTGATTAAGAAAGAAAAAGTGTCACTTCTTGGATGTGTTCAGCTTGATAAAGAAAATTACTGCTGTGTTTCAGAATTCTCATTATTCCCTCTTTTCCATAACAGGCATCTTAAAAAATAAAGTCACCTACCCTCCCCCGCTGGTGGATAAGAATATGAAGAATCGACTGCGGGAAAAGCTGTCGGATTACAATCAGACCACAATCTCATCCAGGACTACATCTCTGGGGACAAATGATGGGGTCCGCTCTCCCTCGGACTCAGGGGTGACAGTAAAAAATGCTCGGAGGGAGCAGTCTCGAGACCAGCTCAACGGCATGGCCATGAATGTCCATGTGGGAACAGGACATGCTGACACCTCAGACTCAGAGTAAGTGCCACATCAGGATGCCCTGGCAGACCTCCCATGGCTCTGGTCTCTTCCTCCATTTTCCAGCCCCAAACTCACACGTGAGCAAGGATTTCACCTGGTGACTGGACCAGAGTCCTTCACCACCAGTGTCTGTCCTGATGGCTTGTCCATACCGTGTCCCCAAGCCATGGTGTTTCACTTGATGGGAAGGCCAAAATAGGTATCACAGGCAAGGTGCCATGACAGACGCCTGTCACTGGTCACCCTGGCGTGCTCTGAATTGGCAAGCTCATGTGTTACTGGCACGCTGTGAACTAGGGCAACCTATCTGCACCGTCACCTTGCCCCGGGACTTGCCGCACTTGCCCCCTGGTCACAGCAAACTGGGCTCCCACGTCCACACAAATTATCTGTCCCCTCCCTGCCTGGTGAGCTGCTGAGGTCATTGCCTTCCCCAGCCCTTCCTGCCTACACACATCACCAGAACAAGGCTGGGCTTTTTCCACTCCCTCATGCTGGGATGGCTTAGCAATGCCCACCTGTGGTCCTGAGAGCCGTGTGTGCCCTCAGGGGTGCTCTGCTCTGGGCTACCCCCTGCTCCTGCTTCTCTGCCCCCGGCCCCTCACCTGCACCCCACTTGGACCATGGGAACATTTGTTTTCCCCTCTGTTTTTCACCGATCCACTCCTTTTGCAGCAAGGAGAGTGTTTGGGGCCATTAGGGACCTGTCACTGTCAGGGTGCAGTTAATGTGGCCAGTACCAGGCACTGAAGGAGGAGGAGAAGTAGAGGGTAAACATGGAGCAGCACTTTTTGATGCAGGTCCAGTAAGACCAGCAAGAGCTGTTGTGGGTGTATGGCAGCCAGCATGGAGGAATGTGGGTGGGGGCAAGACCGAGTGAAGAGGACCCCTGAGGAAGCCCAGTGTTTTGGTGGGGAAAGGCACTAGGCTGGGGGGAGCATGGGGTGGGTGTCCAGCTGGGCAGAGGGAAGCCATTGCTGGGGTGGGAGATCCAAAGGCTACAGAGAAAGTGCCATGTCAAGCCACTGACCCTAAATTACCAGGTGCGCGATTCCCACCCGCTGCATGGCGATGGGTGCGCGCATTTGCCGTTGTAAACTAAATCAAACATTGACAAAAGGCAGAGCAAGCTCTCAGCCAAAGAGTGTTCTCAGAAACCTCATTACTTGTCGTAATTCTTGCATTTAAAATGAGGACAACAGCCATGTGTAAAGTCAGCACAAGCATTTTACACATATAGTCTAATTTTTTATTAGCACAAATAGTCTCATTCTTTCTCCAAGCAAAGAAAAATTTTCTCACCTGGCTTTAACTCTGACATTGTCCCACCATGCTTTAGACACTCGTGTTGTCTGGGTGCACAGACCATTTCCAGCTGACTATAAAAGTACATCTTTAGGTTGCTGGGAACTAGATGAAGAAATATATCCTGGTTAGCCAGGAAACAGAGACGTCTTTAACAAGCAACAACTACTTGCTGCTACCAGTAATACAGTTGTTACTGGAGAATAACTAGCCAACTTGTACTAAGCAACTGTTTCATCTCCACACCTTTCGCATAATGTAAACCGCTGCTGTTGGACAGCAGGTCGCATCAATCTGTGCGAAATACCAGATTTCTAACAGCTTGTGAGATCTGTGTGTGAACCTTGCATCTTCACCTAAGCGTTAGCCAAATACAAGCCCTCTGCAGAGCTTCCTCTGAAGAGTGCATCTCTTGGGCACTACCTGGATTTGTTTCTCCCAGCTGGTCTTCCCCTCCAGGCCAGCATCCCCCTTGCAAGGGTTGGATTGACAAGGCATGGTAACTTCATGGAGCGTGAGCCCTTCCTAAAAAGGATTAGGTGGTTTTGGGTGGAGAGGTTTGCCTGTGCCTGTTTAACCCTAAGCCTGCATGGTTACTTCTTCTCACTAACAGAGGCAGTAACGAAACTTCAATTTGAACCATCAGGAAACTGTGATCGCTGCTGCGCGGTTCTGGACTCCTCGCTGCGGGGTTGCTGCCTGCCCACCTCGGACTTCATCGGAGTAGCCGCGTAGCAAAGAGGGCGAGGTGGGCATTGACTCCCTCGTGGTTTCACGTTGTGGCAGACTCCTGACCGCTCGCGGAGGAGACGGAGTGCCCAGATGCGCCAGTGACAAGGCTGCTGTGTGGTACGCTCCGCGCGGCGTGAACCCGTGCCAAAACGCATGGAAATGGCCACAGGATGGACTGCGAGGGACGGGTACCTGCTCGCGGTGCAGACAGTGCTGCAGGGGTTGCTTGTTGCTGGGGAGAACCAAGATAAAACACAGCGGACCTACAGTAAGTCAATCCATCAGCCTTAAGACAAGCACCAGGAGATGTCTCTTGCGGAGTTTTGTCCGGCTACAGTGTGAACGCTTCATCTTGCTGGGCTCTGGGGAGAAATATCCCAACAAGTGTCCTTTCGTTTCTATGCCAGCATCTCTATCCACTCTCCTATGGACACGTCGTCTTAAGAAAAAAAAATACTTTATATATATATAAAAAGTGTAGATACTTTTATATATTTTGTATGGTGTTGCTAAAGAAAAAATTCCTTTGTATATTTTACATTTATACTGATCTTCTTAATTTGATAATAGGAAATCAATTAAAAGAGGTTTTGATATTTTTTATATGAACATTGCACAATCTTACTTGAATTTGGCATTTGATAAAGTAACTGAGGTTTGCATGGAAGCCACCTTAAGATGCAATGCAGTTTTCAAAGTAATACAGTAAAGATTGCATCAAAATCCATGACTATAATTTATAAGTTTTGTTGACAGATTTTGGAACACTTTAAGGACACAGTATGTTTTTTTCGTAACCTCTTCTAAAACCCACAAAAACTGGTTTGTTTTTTCATTTCTTGGTGTTTTGACCTTTTCTCTCAAATGCATTGAAATGTTCAGCAACTGAACTTCAGGACTAAACATAAGTCATATCTTCGTCTAAGATTTCAACACAGTCCTTGTCTGGAAGAAGTCAAATCTATATTTCCCTTACCAAGAACAAGAAAACAAGTATTGTCATTGTATGGTAGATTTTGACTTTGGTCTGGCTCTGCAACAAACCAGCGCTCTGCATGTCCTGAGAAAAGGGCCTTCCTCCCGTGGGGCAACTTCTGCCTCGGGCAGTGTTTTATTTTACTGTTAACTTCTTTCCCAGTGGAGTCAGCGCATTGCTAATCAAAGCAGAAATACAAGTCTTTAAGGATGTCCAGGTTTCACTGCCCAGCTCTTTGACACAGGCCTGGCCTTGGTGTTTCAGAAAGCACATGGAAGGCTTTAAGGTTTCATGTTTCCCACAAAATATGCTGGTTTCACAAGTATAGGAAAGCTAAGCATTGCCTGTCCACTGTCTTCACCTTCCTGCAGCATTTACAAGAAAAGGAAAAACAAGGTTAAAAAGTTGGCGTCCAACAGCGTGGGGCAGAGCTCTGCTGGCAGCTCCCCATGGTGGGAATACACGACTCGAAGGGTGGCAGTGGTGTGGCCATGACCTGCTCTCTGCCGCCAAGGCTTTCAGGAGCTCCTCGCTTGCTGTAGTAGCCCTTTTGGGATAATGCTGGCTTTTGTTTGTGTAACTGTGTGTGTGAAAGGGAAAAAACAGAAAATCAGGCTAAATAAAATGCAGGAGTTGAGGACAAAATTGAAATAGTATCTACTGTAATCTTGGTTTCATGATATTCCTATGCATTTTCAAATGTTTCAAGGCGGCCTTTGGAAGGGGAGAGGGAGGAAGGATGCTGTTCCTTTAAAATTATGCAACATACTGTGTGACATTTTCTGACTGGAAAAAGTTTTGAATGTTTTAAGGGTCTGGCACCTGGCTGTGTGCTCAGGCGTTGTGTATAACCCACACTAGTTGTTCTTACATCTGTGTATGTATATTTTGTCCCAGTGAGGTGTAGGTAGTTTTTATTTTGATCAGAATTGTTGCAGTAAATGAGGGTCAGTTGTATTAATGACAAAAAAAATTAAAACCTATTTTTATGACTTTTTAAAAGCTTTATGGCAGATTAGACACTGGAGGTTGTTTTTTTTTTAACAAATGTATATTTATTAATGTGCAGAACACTGGAATTGCAGCACAGATGAAAGGAGAATTTACAATAAATTAAGAATTTTTTTTGAACTGTTATTCTTCCTGTGGTTGTTTATTTTAAGTGCAGTACAGATACTGAGGGTCCAAATGGCACTTCCTGGTGTTTAGAAAGCAGCAGGAGAGGGGACATACAGGTCCTCACTGTTGCCGAGGAATCAGCCCTGGGTGGTATCTCATGGGGGGTTTGCTCCAGGTGACACACACACAGAGCCACCCCCACACACACACACACGCACAAAATCCCCCTTCCAGCCCTGTGCCCTTTGCTGGCACAGGGTACCACCGTGCACATTCCATTTCAGTCCAAACCCACGGCGTTTCTCACACCTGGGAAGCGGTCCATGGAGGAAAACCACCCTCTGCTAACCCAGAGCAAAGCAGACTGCCAGGAAAGCACTGAGTTTAGAAAAGGAGGTTGGAGAGGAGGTGGCGGGGGGTGAGGCAGCCAGCCCAGCCCAAGAAAGCCTGCGATGAGGATGTTTTTGGACTTTCTTGGCTACATTCTTGGCGTTCTCAAGCCAACTGAGGCCAAGCCATGGTCTTGCTCACTCTGTACTTTTCAGGCTGTTGTGCAAGTCTTCATTCATGCGTCTCACAAGACACAGCAGTGACCTGCACATGTCTGCCAGCTTTCTGGAAACAAAAGTATTTCTCAGTATCATCTGGCCAGCTTTTCCATAAACGTTTCTAAACATTAGGCAATAAACTGGGAGGGTGTAAGGTCAGGGGGAGAGAGCCTGGTTACTGTCATGATTTAGGGGCAAAATGAAAGACAGGGTCTTCAATTTGCAAACAGTTCTGCCAAAACTTGTCATTAAACAAACCCAAACAATTAGCCCAGAGGGAAACTGTTCTAAATTTTATTGTACAAGTTCGTGTTTTGGTGG